AATTGCGTATAAACAAAGATTCCTCCCAAACCATAGATGCCAGCACAGAAAGTTCTTGCTCCCCATGGAGTCTCCAGGCTGAACAACCAACTGCACCACAAAGCCAAAGCTTCCAGGCTTTCTTTCCTGGGGATATGGGCTCTTTTTTCCTGTTTTCAACCCTGCCTCCCAACTGACAGACCGACTCCCAAAATTGCGTATAAACAAAGATTCCTCCCAAACCATAGATGCCAGCACAGAAAGTTCCTGCTCCCCATGGAGTCTCCAGGCTGACAACCAACTGCACCACAAAGCCAAAGCTTCCAGGCTTTCTTTCCTGGGGATATGGGCTCTTTTTTCCTGTTTTCAACCCTGCCTCCCAACTGACAGACGGACTCCCAAAATTGCATACAAAGACTCCTCGCACAACAAAGATGTCAGCCCTGAAAGCTCTTGCTCCCCGTGGAGTTTCCACGCTGACAAACCAACTGCACCACAAAGCCAAATCTTCCAGGTTTTCTTTCCTGCTGATAAGGGCTGTCATTTCCTGTTGCCAGTGCTGCGTCGAAATTGCCAGCCCGACCCCCAAAATTGCATACGGACAAGGATTCCTCTGACACTAAAGATGCCATCCGGGAAACTCTTGCTGCCCATGGAGTCATAAGGCTGACAAACCAACTGCACCAGAAAGCTAAAGCTTGCTGGCTTTCTTTCCTGTCCATAAGGGCTGTCATTTCCTGTTTTCAGATTGGTCTCCCAACAGTCAGACCGACTCCCAAAATTGCATACGAAGGAAGATTCCTCCCACAGCGAAGATGTAGGCAGAGAAAGCTCTTGCTCCACATGGAGTCTCCAGGCTGACAAAACAAAAGCACCACAAAGCCAAAGCTTCCAGGCTTTCTTTCCTGCCGATAAGCGCAGTCATTTCATGTTTTCAGCGCTGCGTCAAAATTCTCAGCCCGACTCCCAAAATTGCATACGGACGAAGATTCCTCCCACACCAAAGATGCCAGCACAGAAAGCTCTTGCTTGTAGAGAAGCAAGATTCAGGATGGGAACAGTTCCAGGCATGGAGAAAAGCATACAGCAATTGGCAGGACTTTCATATGGACTTTACTGTTATTATGTGGTTTCACTGTATTCATGCTACACAGTGCACAACTGCACATACTCAGGCTTCCTCCTCCCCCTTTTGCCTGTGCCCTGTTCTGATTTGCTCCCCCATTTGTCTGTCTGATAGCCCACCCGATGTTCTGCCCCCTTTCCCAGGCGGGACGGTTAAGAATCGGGCGCACGCCTGAATAAACAAGTCTGCTTGCACCCTTCCTCGTGTCCTGTCCCCTCTTCCCTTCGGACCCGCAACAGATGGCGCCCAACGTGGGGCACAGTTGAGGGCTCTCATATTGAGAGAACTCCTGTGCCTTCACTTGGGCTCAGGCGACACTGGAGAGGCGATCGTCCCCACCTGTCCTCTTCAGCAGAATGGACGGCTGCGAGCTCGGTGGTAGCTGCGCGGGTCGACACGCTGGACAGGTGAGCTGCTGAAGACATTCCCGCACCCTACCCCATCACCCACACCCCAACTGGACATTGAAAGAGAGGATTTTTTATCCGAGACTGTGGAGTTGAGACCCGCTTAATATCGCCATGGGACTCACCCTCTCAACCTCTCAAAAATTTGTATACAGGCGCCTAAAAGACTTTGTTATAGAACACGGCCACCCCCTCGACAAAAAGTCAGCGAAGGCGCTCGCCAGGTGGCTCGATCGCAAGAGCTATAAGCTTGCCGAGGACACTAATATCGAAAAGTGGCAGGCTGTGGGCTGTGATCTCTGGCGAGATAGCGATAAGGGGGACCGTTTAGCTAAAGAGGCGCTCATCGCGTGGAGGCTTGTTCTGATGGTGCTACAGCACCAGGTGATGAACAAGAATATCAGCCTCCCAGAAACTAAGAAGGCAGAGACGGACACTGAGCAGACAGATACACAAGACGGCGGGAGGAAAAAAAGTGGCGCAGGGAACACGCGGTCTGGGCAACATGGCGACGGGGGGGGAAGGGCGTTTGCACGCACACAGGGCTGAAGCACGCGGGGGAAGATCGCGGGAACCCACACCGTGTGGCACCACGGCGCGCAAACTTTTTGCGTGCGCTCCGTCGGTCCCGCCCCCCAGCCCGCCTTCGCGCCAGCCCCCCTATGCCTCCGGTACGCCCACGGACCCTCCCACCAGAACGCCCTCTCCTTCCAGCGCTGCCTCTACCCCCACGTCATCACCCTCCCGGGGTAGACGGACACTAAGGGGCAGGGTCAGGGCGAAGGTCAGGGCCTCTTCCGGCAATAACATCCGGAAAGATGGTCGCGCCCATAGGCCGGATAGCACCGAGGCTTACCCTGTCTGCCGCTACTCTGAACCCGATTTAGACATCGAGCAGCACTCCCCTGATCGACAGCCTAAGCTGCCAGATATCTGGAGAGCCTTCAGGGAGGAGGCTGCCACCGCTACAGAGATGGA